CTCTTGATTTCGAATTTGAAGTTTTGCGTATCCCCCTTGAAACCGCCAAAAATTATTAGAACCCACCCACGCATGTGTCTCACACCTCGGCCAGCTATGTTTTTGCATTAAGTCTTCTTTTCTTGGGCCTTACCGATGCTTTTTCTGCACACATTGTCCTGATACGAGCTGCGGAGGGTGGAGCGTGCCGGAATTTACAGGTTGTGGATTCCGTTACGCTACGCTCCGTAGTTTGTCGCGTCCCGGAAACTTGGATTCTGATCATCGCTTGACTTTGGGCGTATTTCGAGTGTTGTCAGTTGGGTTTTGGAGGTGATAGAAAGTCTATATTTTCTTATTATTCAGAATTTTGCGCTCAAATATAGTGCATTCAAACAATCTTTTTCAGAATTTTTGAATGCACTATATTTGAAAAGTTACAGCACATTTTAGGCCTAAAAAAACGCCAATTTGCTTGCTCTGCCCGCTAAAATACGCTGTGACCTCTCAAATATAGCTTTTTGGAAAATTCTGAGGATAGGGTCGGATTCAGCGTCAAATTGTACACTAGAAAAAGTCCATCTCAAAACTCTGACTACGCTCAAAAACGTTAGACTGAAATGCACCCTCGGGGCGTCCCTGTCTGCCAGCGTCATTTGGCCTGTCGTGTACACCCCAAGAGCCAATTTACACCCATAGCCCGTAATCAGGAATGCGTCGGAATTCGGCACGGACTGTCCGCAATGATACCATGGCCCGTACTATATGTATAGATTTGCCCTTGACCCGCTACCTTTTTTTCTCCATTTACATACCTTTGCGTTTCTTTGCTTTTTCTTGGTCGGTTTTTTCTAAAAATCTCACACACGCTACGATGCATACTCTGACATGTTGAAGTGCAACCAGCTCCCGGAAATTACTAGTATGGTATGAAAGATGCAATTTTTCCGCTAATTAACCCTGCTCGTTTGCCCCACCCTGAATACCTGTTTGTATGGTCACAACGCTGGGGATTTTTTTGAGGGTTTTAACGGGTTTGGCAAGCTTGGAATTGGCTAAATTTAACCGAAAAGATATCGGAAAAATTTGATAATTTTGAAATTACGACGATTTAATTCAAAACGCAATTTTCTGTAGATTTCCTGGCTTCTACGTCCATTTAAAGGGATAGTGCCACCAAATTTTAACCATAGATTTCGACTTAGACCAATCCCAAGTTTACTAAACCATTTAAAAGCCCCAAAAAAATCCCCAAAACCACATCACAAAAATCTTGTATTCTTCATTTTCTACGTTTTTCTTTGACGAGATACCTTTGACTACGCAGCTTTACGATAATATCCCCGTTTTTTCGTTTTTCGAACCCGCAATCTGACGCATTTACCCCCCTAAAACGCCATGTCGCTCCCCGGAAATTTACGCATCTACTACCGCAGCCGACGAGTGTGTGTTTATGCTTTAAAACCCTTTAACTTTTCAAACGCATAATTATACCTTGAAGCCCTGCATTATATACTTTATTACTAGTGGTTACTTCGATATACACATCGCAATTTCCTATGTCGTCTCCGATTATGGCTATTTTACACGTCGGATTTTCAGGAATTTAGTGTTACATTTCTGGAATCCGTTCCCCATCCCCCACTTCGATCGGTGTTTCCCCCACTCCCATTGGTGCTGTCCGTTTTTCTATCCCCCGTTTTAAACTTTTTAAATCCCCCGAAAACCCTCGAATTTCTCGTGTCCAACCCCCTCCCCACCTCTCACCCTGATGAGGATTATATACCGTGCTGTCTTCCTATTTTGATAAAGACTTCAAAATATGTGCCTTGATGATGAAAATGCACATAGAAACCCTAAATAATAATACGGAAAAATAAACTGTAAAGCTAGATATACAAGCTACAAATATCGTCGATTCGCTCAAAATCCTTTAAAATTAACTGCAACTAACTTTAAAAGCTTTAAAAACTATAAAACTCGCTAAAAAGTACGAGATTCGCATATTAGCAAAGTTTCTTGAAGATGCTATGCGGGTTAACACCGGCTACATCCCGATACGATGCGATACAAGGGTGCCACCGCATTTGCGCCCCGACACTTGCGCCCCGATTCCATAGTGAACTGCGGGGCGCAAGTGTCGTAGGCGCACATGGTCGGGGCGCAAATGTCGGGGAGCCGATACAAGACGTTTTGCCACTCCTAACTTCAAATCTAGATTTGAAAGAATACTCTTTGAGCGTTTCCTCATTTTTATCATCTTTGGAAGCAGCAAAAAACCCTAAAATTGTTGCCCGGACTAGCCCTCTTTATTTCGAAAATGTGTTCAGAAATGCACTCAATTCTAGCGAAAAGCGGCTCTTTTGTATTGTGGCTGCGGCCCGGACACAACATCTCCCCCGGAGCAGTCCAACGAACCACGAAACTAAGCAAAAACCATTTATCGAATATCTCCAGTTACAACGAAATTCGAATAAAAACTAATAGCTAATCTTTACCCTAAACATGCGTACCGTCGCTACATTCCTGGTATCCGTATTATTACTGCCAGCTATTGCAGCGGGGAATCAGTGCCTGCAAAATAGCTACTTCACTGAAAAAGGTGTCCGGGAGCGCACGATCCTTGACGTGAATTGCACGACGCAAGGTTTTTGTGTATACGCCTTCTTCAAGAATCCGGACCCGGCGGAGAAGCAGGGATTTCAACGTGGATGTCCGGAAGAAAAGGAATGTGACGTGCTGAAGTAAGCTTTCGACGTTTTTTTAAACAGAAAACTAAAATAAACACGAAAAACCGGATAATTTTCTCTGATTTCTAGTAAACCCTCACCTTTAAAACCCTTAAAAACGCTTCCCAGCAAAAAAAAATCATTTTCAGCAAGCCCGACAAGTTCCACCAGTGGTACCTAACTTCCAATGGCTTCATCTGCCGCAATGATACAAACTACGGAACTGCAGGGTCCGTGTGCTGCTGCCTTGGCGACATTTGCAACCAAGAAGTGCCGATATCCTTGAAGCGTGAATAAAGCTTTTTTCGTACTCAGACAACTCGATACTCAAAATGCAGCGAATGGTCATAAAAGAACTACAAGCTCTGACAAGCTAACTACCTTGTAAACGTTTGACTAGTATGCAGAATTCGGATTTAATAAAAAGGAAATCAGCTAGGTTATTTTCTACCTCGCGAAAGGTATTACTGGGATATTATCGAAGCAACGCCGCGCACGAAATTTCAAAAGCCCCCTCCAACTTCTAAAAAAAACATCTACTAAACGGGGAATACATTATGTTCTGGAAACTTCAGAAATCGTGTGTTTCGTGTGCTGTCGCGCAAGCCGAAACTTCTTAAAATGTAGAAAAAAGCTAGTGCATGACAGCATTATTTCCTACCTAAAATAGCTTGACTTCGTCAAAAAACCATTTGTGCTTTTCGCAACAAACATCTAGAGTCATAATTATTCCCGTTATTTCAAAAACTTCGAAACCATTACAGCCATCACGAGGTAAGACATCTGTTTCCCGCCAGCTGGCCCTCGGGGCGGCCAGCGACATTGCGGCCGTTTACTGATTGATGACGGCACGCTATCGTATTCATGAATGGTTCCAGAAGAAAAGAAGCGCCAAGAGACTCCTCCCCTTCGCAAAGACTCTCACAACACTGCACGGAAGACAAGCCTATAAAATAGCGGGCCAGCTACGTCACGACATCGCTTCCGAAACGACCCTGCGGACACCTCGATTCGAAGACGCTTCCAAAACACACAGACTACTTTGGGATGCGGCTGATATTTTTGACGGCTTCGGTTATTCTTGGAGGCGCCTGGGCGGGTCATCAATGCGTGCTCAACCACTTTTTCGTCGAGGACGGCATCAGGGAAAGGACGATCGTACCGTCGAAGGTAGGTCGAGTAAAACTAGACTGTATGTATCCCACTCTGTCAATTCCGGACAGCTAAAATTACCTAAAATATATTAATAGTTGTAGCACTAAAACTAGAAGTCTTAGCTCCATATTTACGCCCAAAATAACGCGTTCTTTTGAGGCGAAAAAGACTAGCATAAACCAAAGAGGTAGCTTCCCTAAATAAAGTATCGTTTCGAAAGCTGAATTTAAAACGAAATGATTTTAAAGCTTTCCAAATACGCCTAAAAATCAATACGCGTCTCGAGAGATACTTCCGCAGCTAATCGCGCGCTGTTTTACGAACTTGGATCGAAAGACCCCGTTTTTAGATCTTCAAGTAGCAATACAACTTAATAATATAACAAGCTGCCAGTTAACATAACCTAGCCTCATTACTTCAGAAATCCCGAAAACCCAGCATTTTTCAGTGCTACACGAACGAGTTTTGCGCCTACGTCATCTACTCCGACAAAAACCCAAAGAAAAAGCAGGGTTACGCGCAGGGCTGCGACAAAGTCGACTGTATCACTTCGCGAGATCCGGCCTCGAAAATGTGGGTCAAAGCCAGGGACTCCTACTACTGCCGAAACCACACCGATTACGGGACCGAAGGCTCGATCTGCTGCTGCAGGGGCGAGCTGTGCAACATAGATAATGGTACCACCTTTACCTCAATTGTTTCTTCGCTAATTCTATGTGTACTCTTTTTCTTCTCGTGCTAAAAAGTTGCCACGCTAAATTTACAAATTGCTATTTCCAACCCCTCAGTCAGTCTTTCCCCGTGACGAATATAGTGAAATAAAGAATCTAAACCCACGATGCTACGACTAGCGCTAAAAATTAATCGAAAAATCACCGGGTTCAACGTCCAATCCCTGATTGATCGTCAAACGTCTTGATTTCTTCAAACCCGACTAGAGCACGACATGGATCTTGTAAGCAGCGACTAAACCTCTAAAACATCACGTCTTAGCGTTAGTTTATTCATGCACACAATCACGAGACTATTCAGGCCACCCAGCAGCACAGAAAAAAAAGAAATCACAAGTTGACAATATAGAAAAATTCCGTAATCACATAGAAATATTTACAATCCGGCATCCGGGCCACATCTTTAGTTTTCGATTCGATCGAACACGCGCAGGCACTTCGACTTGCCGGCCGTCAATTGGGTGTAGAGTTGACCGTCTTTCAGCCATCGCTCGATGCGGGAGTCGACGTCTTTTTCCTAGAACAAAGTGGCTAAATAGAAAAGGCTAATTTACCTCAATCGCCCGCTGCTCTTGAATCAAATGGCCGTCGACAAAGTTGAAAACGGTGCGGAAGTGGCGCCCGTCGATGGTGGTCTACAACAAAATTGGCTAACTTGAAACCTGCTCACCTCGTCAAACTCCTCGCCAATTTTGAAGCGTAGCGTGAAGTTCTTGAACACGGACTGGCTGCGTACGACGACATCGTTGCCCTAATTTACGGCATTGGCAAAAAAACAATGAACGCACCGTAACGGTAATATGCAGCGTGACTGGCGTATTTCGTGCGGCGACCCGGGCCAAGTAGCCGACGCCGACCGTCTGAAAGATCTGCTGTTCAAAAGTCTTTAAAAAATAGTATACCTTCATGTAATCGTCCCAGCCTTCGCTAGACACTAATTTCCACGTGCCCTCGAACTCGGCCATTTAGCGGCTGCTTGCTGAAAATAAAAGTTAGCAACATTTTTCTAAAAGAACGCAAGGAAAAAAGGGAAATAGGACTGAGATAATGTGCGAAAGGCACATGCAACAAAAAGATCTTAGCGCCGAGATTTCTCTACAAAAAAAGGAACTTTTCAGCAACCCCCAACCGAAATCTGCCCATGAAACTGCAAGAGGTGATAAAATGTGCTTTTCAGTGTTGTGCTATCCAGTTGCATATCCCCAGAGCAACGCTCGGGTTTGCCGAAAACAGTCTGGCCGAAGGTCGGCCAAGCACCAACAGGAAAAAACAAGTTCTAGCAGCCGTGACGTGAAAACGGGTGATCCCGGGCACTGCTAACACGAAAGCCGGGAAATGGGTCAAATTCACTAACCAATTGCGCGAACAGAAAGATCGGTTTATGACGCGTAAAAGCCGAAAATGGAGACAAAGTCTAGCAGAAAGCACCGCGGAGGTGAAAAGAAAGAAAAAGAGAAGCGGAAAGAAAAACTCGAAAAGAAAAGTAGCTCCATGACAATCCAATTCACGAATTTCGTATTTTGGAGCGTAGCGTAGCATTCGAAATCTTTTTTTCTTTTCAAAACTTGTTAATAAAAGTTTCTGCAAAATAAAAGAATTTAAATTTCTAAGCTGAGGTTTTTTTATTAGTTATTTTATTTGAATTAACCGGTTAATGTTTTATCTCGATAAGTTAACGACGAGCTGTCTTCAAAACAAATCCACAGGTTCGAAGAAAACGGGTATAACTTTCAAAAACAGTGTCATCAGGTTTGTTTTCTCTTTATTTAGCCGTAGAACTTGCGTGTACTATAGTATAACGGCGGTATCATACAGGCAAAGTCAAGGTTTTATTCATTACCCGTCAGCACTCTTCCGTCAAATACTTTCAAGCGGCAAAAAAGCAAGCACAACGCGTGTCAGGGGGTGTGAATCGAGATCAGATCAAGAGATATGGCTTTGAAAAGTGGGCCTGTGTGTTGCGAAAATATAATAATTTCGATGTGACGCAAACCGTTGAGATCAGGGTTGGAAAGGACTTGAATGTCATAGAAAAAACGGAGATGGGCTAGGCCGTGAGCGGTATTTACACAAATTGGCATTTGAGGGAAGCAGAAGCGATAAAGAAATTGCGTAAAAGGGATGAGATCTATTCAGATTCCCGTGATTCGTGTCTTGTAACGGCTGATTTGGTAGGGGCCGTAGAAAGGACGGCATGCCTGGTGTGGGCAGTCGTCTCGTAAATGCTTGTCGATAAATAGAAGGCGTTGCACGCGAATTGTGAAAAGTAGAGGGCTTGGCTGATAGCTGAAATGGCTTGGGTTTTGGTGGTTTGTTCGTTTGGAAAGCTTCATTTTGTAAATTGAACGGATGAGGAAGTTTGTAAGATTTATGGGTTTTCTAATTTTTGGTAGTTATGAAGACTCTAGTGATTGCTGATTACGTTGTTTTCGAGCTTTTGCTATTTTTCAAAACGTCATTTGTTAAAGCTGTTAAAGCTTGGCGAATTTTGTAGTTAGTTACGAGTTTAGCAAGATATTTTCTAGATTCTGCTAGCTTGGAAAGTTTAGTTTTTCAAGGTTACTAAAATCGCCGAATTTAGTTTCTGCTAGCTTATAAGGTTGTTTTTGGAAGTTTAGTTTTTGAAAGCTCACATTCAATATACTTTGACATCTCTGAATCCGCATCCGCTTGCGGATCCGAGTCCGTCAAACTGAGCCAAGTTCTCAGAATATTGTGTGGCAAATTGCACAGTAGATTCAACGCCGAGATGGTGATCGATCGCATTATCATCGATTGACGGCGCTTTTGGTAGAGTAGCCGTTTTTTGGACATGTGCTAAAGGAAGGGTTTTAGATGATTTTAGCGGGTTTGGACTTACATCTCCAGTACATTGGGCCATTGACACCACAAGTGCCATATTTGCACCACCACCCAGGAAGTCGCTCTCGGCAATCGATATCCTTGAGCTAGAAAGGGTTGTTTTTGAGGCCTGGTGGTATTCAGTAGAGAAAGTGCGTCAAAACGTCTTGGAGAAGTCTAGTAAATTTGTTATATTTACCTCCGCTCCATGCTCGGAAGTGAAATAGCGTATCTTCTTTCGTAAAAAGAAGGCGGCTCCTCGATGGTGCCGTATGGGGAGTAGCAGTGGAAAAGGACGATCCCGTCGAAAAATATCCGCAATATTGCGGGTACGGCGTAGAATAGAGTGACATCCATTAAGTGTGCCATCTGAAATAGGCTTTATTTTTCACGAAATTTATTTTTTAAAGCTTTCAGCAAGCGCCGAATAATTTTGCAGCGGAATGTTGGCTTTTTAATTATGGTTAGACTACGTGTGGCTTACTTTTCTGGTTGAGGTATCGATTTCCCGATTCTCGCCGCACATCCCGGGGCTGTGCTCCGTCTCGCCCTCTTGCTCGCCGTAGATGTAAACAGCGACGAAGAGGATCCAGGACTCGAAGAAGCAGCAAAAGCAGAGCAGGAGCCTAAATTAGAATTTGCATTACAGCTAAATTTCCCGTTTTCATAGATCTTACTTGACAGTTTTTTGTATTTTCAAAATTTTCCGTTCTATTTCCCGTAAGGCAAACGTACTTTAACGCATCCCTCGGCTGCCGCCATATCGTTCGATATTTCAACGGGTGGAAGACAGCTGTATATCGCAATATTGACAACACCAGCCACGACCACACGGAGAACGCGGATGTCGTGTGCATCAGGAAGATGTTTACCTAGAGGCGATTTTTGATGAGTTATCTAGGTTTTTGCTTACCTTGCAAAACACATTGAACACGGCCAGCTGATTTTCGCTGCGTGGCGTCTCGATGTCGTGCGCGGCTCGCATGTTCCACATATGGAAAATTACCTGGAAAAGGTAGGGGGTAATCATAAGTTCGAAAACATAATTTTTGACAAAGAAGCTAGCTGGTAAGCGATGAAATGACGTGTCTACCTTTACGTTAGGGTTCGCATATAAATGCAGCTTTGTAGCGAAAAAAAACATTTTACGATGTTTTTGAAAGTAGTCTTGGGTATTTTTAATAGCAGTTGTTTTAATTAGAGGAATCTATTACCTGTGAAAACTCGGCAAGTAGACACACAGAATCTGCCACCGTCATGCCACATAATGGTAAAGCGGAAGTCGTTTCGAAACGAACGGCATTCACCCTGAAATTAGCAAACAATAACAATAGAGTTTTTGGATTTCAAACGCAACTTTTGAACCGTAAAAACTTTAAATAAGCCACTTAAAAGCACCAAAATATACCGAAAAACGTACCAACTTGAAAATTACTTTTTCTAGACTTTTCTTGTGCACATTTTGTTGTTAAATAAAATTTTAATGAATTTATTAGAGGTACCAATATGAGAATGGAGATTTATAAACTTGCTTTTAGCTTTATAACCTAATTTTTCATACATAAACACTTCAATAACTTTACAAAAATTACCTGGCCACCCGAATCAGCCGCGCAAAGACGTATAAATTAATGGCAATTCCGAGTATCGGGACGACAATGTAGATGACGATGAAGGACAGGTTCATCACTTCATCGACGTTGCCCCGCTGAAAATAAAAAAACATTTTTCAATCGATAAACATGTACACAATTGGACAACAATTCAGCACAAAATTTTAGTGAAAAGGCTGACCCGTCCGGCCGGTTTTCACGGATTAGCGGAGGGTGTAGCGGACTAGTTGGTTTGTTTTTGTATCGGGTAATGGTGAGGGCAGCTTATTTTGATTGGGGTAAAGTAGAGGAACATTACAATGAGTGGGTAGATTTTATTAATAGCCGGTGTTTGAAATGGATAAGCGGAAGCTGAGCCAGTTAATCCCAAAATCGAGAACGTTGGATTCAGAGAACACAGGTTGGCTTTAAAGTGGTCTGGCTGGCGCTCAAACACCAGTGGTTTGAGCTCGTGACTTTATAAAAACAGTTATATGTATAGCACTACATCAAACGCCAACAAACCCCTTAAAAAACCATTAAAAGGTATAGAAATCTCTTGAAACCAAAAAGGTCTAGGCGGGCAAGTTTCGAAGCTTGTCGGAACAGTAATGTAAAATTTTTTTCGTTTAAATTGGTAAAAGGGTTCAAAAGCGTTTAAAGTTAAAAAAAAATTAGAGGGGGGGTTTTTTTGGAAATAATAAAAGGGGGAAAAAAAAAAAAAAAGGAGGGGGTTTTGTTTGTATCGTCGATTAAATGTATAAAAAGTATATAGAAAGGTATCCTATTAGGAATCGCTCCAAATGAGCGTATTTTAGGCGCAAAACTGCGCGGTGAGGTGCATGGCAGATGGATGTTGTTTAGCACGCGATGCTACGCGCCTGATGTCTCCGGAAAAAGGCCAGCAGATTTTTGAACGGGGAAAAAGAGGCTTATACTTGCTACGCTAATTTCTGAGCTCAAAGACCGTCGTAATCCACAAAACTTGACGCGTTGAAGCTTTCAATAAATGTATAAATATGAAATTACCATGGTTGTCGACTATTATCAAGGTTGACCCAGTTTTCGTATATTAGTAGCTAATTACAACGGAATGTGTAGTTTTTAGGAATCAAAATTGTAGCCCTAGCGCTTCAGAAGCGCCATTGATCATCGAGAATACTCAACCCGGGGGTGGCCACGAGCGAATTATACGAATTCTGAGTATCAGCCCGGGAAGAAGAAGCCACCACTGTCGGTGTGGCACCTCGGATGAATATGAATGATTGCCATAATTCGTGACTCAAGTGGGTGTGCACCTAGGGAAGGTGGAGAAGGCCAAGGAGCTTCCCCAGGCTAAAAAGCCTAGCCGGAAGTGGCGCCTCCGTTTCTAAAGGCTTCTTCAAGGGGCCACCGACACGAGGACGGGGGTTGTAGGGGGAGGAAGAAGAGTTTGGCCTTTTGCCGAGGGCTGCGTGTGCATGGGATAGTAACGGAAGGGCTGCTGGACTTTTACATAGGTGAGAGGATGTGTTCTTTGGATAATTCTTGTA